CCAGGTGGTATATTAATGTAAGCACATGTACAACCCAAAATTCCATTGTCCTGGTCACGGATACAAACAAAGGCTAGTTCGTTGAGATCATCCATAACTGCGGGTGGTCACAAACACTCAAAACTGAGCGGCGTTGGACCCGGCTAATAGAATGTGAGTCACTTCAAACTTTGCGAGCGGTATCTTACAACCCGCATGAAGATGACGGCCAACCCCTCGTAAGGGTTGTTTACACAGGAATTGCGCATACGAATAAGAAAATTCTAAGCACTTTCCCAGCATTGATATCATCCCACAGAGTATGGATTTTGGGCCGTATGCTATGCTTCCCCGAAGCTAGGTGATCCAAAGTTTCCTTTAAATTTATTTGTTTTGAACGATATAGTTTCTTCATTTTCAGTGCATGTTTACTTTTACCTACATACATACATTAAATGTAGGCCCTTTATCAGGGCAATCCCAGTTGGGAAGACAGAGAAAATTTAAAGGAATTTTCGTCCCCTAACCCCTTCGGGGAGGATAGCATACGGCCCTTTGTATTTTATACGTGAAGGAAGCGATCACGCTGGCTTCCACGTGGATCTGGTACCCTTGCGTTATCAACTGAGAAACTCGGGATAGGAGCTAAGCTAATCGAGCGCAACCCCACGGAAGGATTTCATAAGATAAGAGGTACGGCTGCTTAGAATGAGGTGCACTTTAGAATGAAAATCGATAACGATAACGGTATCATATCTAGTACGCTGCCATACCCCTTCCACATCGATACGGGGTGTTTTTGCTACCCGGAAGTGGATTTCGGCGCCTTATCACGCCGTTGATAAGGCGCCACTGCCACTGAAACACACCTGTTGTCTCATTGGGCAGGACCCCTACCCACTCCAGTACGTAACTTTCCTTATCGTCTCCATGGGAATTATCGTGACCACTTCCTTTAATCTAGTGATGGCTTTCATAGCTGATGCTTGCCAAAAGGAGTAGGAACGTTCCGTCTTGTTGTTCGTCTTCTTCCACCCCTCACTCCCTTCAGGTGCTCCTCACACCTGGAGAGGGGAAGACACCTTTTTCACAAATACAAGCTTCGCCACAGGAGTAACTTTAGCAGGGACATGGCCCTTTTCTGTGTGCAACCCCCATATTCCATATATAGAGACAAATGACGCGATCCGCCGTTCTTGTTGTACACTCCAGTTGTGGATCAACCCGTGTCTGATACTGGGTTTTGAACTTTATCAAACTATCAACCGACGAGCATGTTGAGCTATACTGTAACTCGGCTTTGGTTATGTGTTGTATCTTTCTCCACGACCTTTTATTTAGCCTTCGAGTGAGGAAGCATTCCCGGCACAATTGCACTTTGAACACCCTCTTCATAAAATTTATTCATAGGGTTCGAAAGACCAATTACTAGCGAAGCACTGTTGGGACTTTGGACTTAACGTTTCAGTGGTTACGCATGAAATCGCAGTCGCATAATCGCGCAAAGGAAGCGATCGCATTGGCCTTGGGGTGGAGCTGCATACTGTGCGCTATCAACCGAAATACTCGAGATAGAGCTCAGCACGAGCGTAACCCCATGGAAGATATGATACGGTAAGATAAGAAGATACGGCTGCTTGAATGAGGTGCACTCCAGGATGAAAATCGAACGATAACGATAAGGTATCATACTACCGTTACTGTTGCTTTGCAACCCCTTCCACGTCCGTTACGTAGGTGGTGCTGTGATCCGAAAAGGAGATTCAGCGCGTTATCACGCGTTGATAAGACCCCCTGCCCCTGAAGTGTCACTTATCGGCTTGTTAGGTCGGTATCCCTAAACATTCCATTAGGTGAGGTTCCCATTAGTCCCATTTCGGGGAGAGACCTTCGAAGCGGGCATGAAAAAGCCAGCTAGTAGGTTACGGAGGGGAGGACTGATCCTTAGAAAGGAGAACCACCAGGAAGAACGAAAATTGCACACTTTCTCACATAGATGTAGTCCCAAGATCTGTAAGAAGGCTTTGAATGACCTCCTAGAAGCGAAGGTTTACAAGAGCACCCGCGAAAAATCGCAAATATATGCTGCTTCCACCTCCTAGAGAGTGAATGAGGCTGCGTACGGCAACCGCCCAGCTCTTATAAAGGGACATTGCTCTAATTAGTAATATGAAGACACTTTGGCGCGACTCGAACTACATCCTTCAAGAAACACCTCTGCAGAGATATTATTTCTTATAATGGTATGAATAGTGAAAGTTATTCAGAAAAGAGGTCCGCAGATACGTTATCTTAACTTCCGATGTCTTAATAACATGCTGGCATTAGTTCGAACACAGAAGCATTTATTTAGATGTGTGCAACAGAGGGGCGCACTTTTATGGATAGCTCCTAACACGTTAGGTGCAACTGGAGGGGGGGGGGAGGGGAGAAGACGCAGAGATATTCCTACTCCTTTTGGCAAGCAGCAGTTATGAAAGCCATCAGGACAGTGGACTTAGAGGAAGTGATACGATAATTCCATGGAGACGAAAAGGAAAGCTACGTACTGGACTGGGTGGGTGTCCTGCCCAATGAGACGACAGGTAGTGTTTCAGTGGCAGTGGCGTCTTATCAATGACGCCGGAACTACCACCGACTCGCAACACTCACATTTGTTTAGGAATTGTGAAGAAGAGTGTTTAATTTACTATTATCGACGAGGTGAGACAGGACTTATCAATGTTTGTCTCTCAAGGGTTAAGTGGTAACTTTTCAGTACTCACCATCAGCTTATTTGAAAATGGAACACAGAAAGTGTCAAAAGGTCTTGAGCAGCGTATACACTATCGGACCTCCACTTCTTGCTAGTCTTTGTGATTAATTCCAAACATTGAGAACCTTTCCCTTTGAAATTTTTAAAACTTTTCATTCAGTTATGCCACATTGGTGCACATCCAGAAACCCCTCCTGGTTATCTGTGCAGGTGAAGATCCAAAAAAGCGATTGAATTGAAATCTTCTGCTCGGCGTAATACATCCAACTCACCGCTGCACTCGCTTCCACGTGACACTAAAGTTAGGGAAGTTCATCAGGTGGCGCTTTCAATCACATCTGTCTGACGGATTACAACGAACTTGTGCGAGTGGAAACTGATGAGTGAAGTTTATTCAACACTGCATTAGAGAAGCTTAAAAAGTTGTGCATGCAATCATATTTTTGCCGACACAAGGCACGAATCATGCAACTGGAGGACCAGTGAGATTCATCTTTCAATCAACTAAATGGAAGTATAGATTTGGTTTTCCTGCAGAGTTTCGGGCGTCCGTAACATGCATATCCTATGGGACATTCTCCGCATGGTTTTCCTTCCTTGTAGAGAGGCTCACCGGCTTGGGTATGCCTGAAGAGACATTTCGACATTTCGCCGCCTATTAGTTTGAAGCTTATTTACTCACGGCCTGCCGTAGTAGCAGTAAACGGCATAATAATTTCTGGAGCCACTGGAGCAGAAGTTCACAGCGCAGCCGAGTTCTTCCGTGTCTGCCATGGCCATCTGGAAACACAGAGACAACTGAGCGATCGATAAAACGAGTGATATGGTGTTTTCAGTTCAGTCCACACAGGATACCCTTCCTTTGAGTCCTCCCCAACTCTCTTAAGGGGTGCTCAATAACCCAGCCTCCAAAGAAAAAACTCTATTTCTCGAGGGACACCGTTTGGCGTATTTTCCAAGATTTTCCTTTACTGGAAAATAAAGGTAGTTTTCGCGTTTTCAAAACAGAATCGGTGTTGACACTCAAAATCCTATTTATACTGATGGTGAGCACATTTTTCTTCCAAAGATTTTCTCAGAAAACCTTATTATGCGAATTTTGAAGACTTTTCAGGATGGACTTTGATGAATACACAGCAATGTACTCTGTAAACTGGTTAATAAAAGGATGAAGTAGTTTGCCTTTGGTCAATCCCTCGCTGGGATGCGCCACGCATTCCACTTCCAACTGGAATTGTTTTACACTCGTAGTTGCAGCTTGAATGCGATGTGGCCTATAGCAATGCCAGCCGATGTACAAGTCAGTGTTTTTTTATCCTCCCAGACAAGTCTGGTACCAATTAACCGACCCCGGAGGGATGGAAGGCTTGGTTGGCCCGGGCGACTCACGACCCAGGATTTGATCCCCGGACCGCTCGCGTGGTAAGCGTGCCACTTGCCACTACACCACTTCCACCCTCATTTGAGGATATGCTTCCTGTGTAGTCCGAAAAATGCTCTTGACTTTCCTATTTGGATTTTCACAATCCCTTTTCTTTTACAGTTCGCCAAATCCTTCCCAAAATTTCTACCAAACTAAGCAGTAAAATAAAACAAAACCGTACCATAAAGAATGGAATTGCTCGGAAGTCTGTATATTTAGGCGTGACTCCTTCCAGTTTGTAATACAAGTGCACATTCCACCATTCGTGGGCAGCCTTAAGAGAGGTAGTTCAGTTCAGGATCTCAAAATGGTATTCCTAATTGCTTACTTTCACCAATGCTTCCTTTGGAGACATGACTGCCCGATGGAGTCTCATCGTAGTATTGATAAAGTGATAATTTCTTCCTGTGTCAGTGAAAGCTGTTCTGGGTGGAATGACCTTGCAATCATCTCCGAAAACTCCTACATCTAGAGCCACTTTCTCCAGTGTGCAATCGTACTTCTTGAAAATATATCTACCTGTCAACAATACTGCTTTATGAGCATAAACATTATCAGATAGAAATAAGAGTATTTAACTTAGAAGGTTACCATTGCACGCATGTTTGCTGCTTTTGGAAGTGTTTCCAATGAAATTGATGACCTTTGAACTTTCCCTTCAGCAAGCTTGTACCTAATACTCGTTACTCTAGCAGCAATTAATTTTTTGTGAGAAGTTTGAGCCACTTAACGTTAAAGGAATCCGGGTACTTTTTTTAAATGCACGAACCTTAGATTGTTATGCACATCAACGATTGCTTGCCGCATCTCTTGACTCATAACGTCGACGTAACCACAGGATTCTGGTGCATCTGAAAACTGCTATGAACCCATTCAGAGTGCTGTAGCGCGGATGAAATTACTGGAATTCACAACCCATTTATAATTAACATTCACGTATTTAGAGCACTCATGCTGAAGGAGTGTGTTCTGATTGTCAAATGAGTCCACGAATACAGGGGGGGGCAATAAAAAAGACATTTTGTCTCCAGACTCAAAT